ACATACCGTTCTACTGAACAATGAACGGCATGTCACTCATTTGTACTCTAAACGACATGACGCTTATATATATATATATATATATATATATTAAGAAACAAAACTACACATTCTCTTTTATAAACTAATAAACGACAAGTTATCTCCTTTCCTACTTCAATCTCTCTCTGTTTGTCTACATTTTCCAGTTTGTTTGATATAAGGATTTAAATTAGAGTAATTCTAATTATGATTCTAAAATCAGATTCATAATTCATGATTTTAGGTTTAAATCATGATTTTGAAACCATGATTTAGGATCAGAGGTTTGAATCACCTTGAATCAAGAGGATAGTGGTTTTAGAATTGTGATTTGAGCTAGTTTAAAACATCACATCAGATTCTGAATCATGATTCAAAATCATCCAAACCAAACACTGATTCAGAATCACTGTAAATAAACACTAATTTTGAACCAGGATCTAAAATCATGATTTTAAATCTATCTACTAAACGCACCCTAACATTTCAGGCTCTTGAGCTTTAAGTATATGAAGTTGTGAGTGTCGTTTGATATCATCTGTAATGTACATCTATCTTCGGATTCTCCACTTATTGCAAGAGGGATTGAAAAAAAAAAAAACTGCTACAACTTTATTTTACTCATTTAAAACTCTATCATTCCAATTAGTGATGAGAAAAGGAATTATTTATCTAGTTTTGCTTACTTAGCAGTTGAGTTGTAAAGACACGAGTTCTTACCAACTCTGTGCACCTTATCTGAATTAAAAATGGAAATTGTGGGAAATTGATATAAAAAAAGGAGAAGTTTGCCTCCAAGCTAATAAAAAAACAATAATATAATGCCACTTATCCAAAAAAAATAAAAAAAAATTAAACCAAAAGAAAAAAATTAAACAAAACATAAGGAGATAAGCAACAACTAGTTAATTACGTAAATGAGGGGTGCAATTGCGCAAGTGCCTATTTGTTTTTTTTTTTTTTTCTTTCTGTTCTTTTGTATTATTTTTCTGTCTTCTTGGTCCAAATAAATTTACCTTTAGGCCAAAAAAAAAAAAAAATTGTGAACACGTTATATTTTCCTCTTCTTACTTTTTATAAAAGTAATTTCTATAGAGTAAGATTTGCCATAATGGATATACCCTTGGTAGAATATAAACCTTTACCTTTACTTCACTTGAAACGTCATGAATTTTTAGAATATAAATGGCCTTCATTGTGTTTGACATATCACTCATAAAAAAACGTGATAAACTTGTCTAAAAAGTTTATAAAAGTGTGGCCGACTGGCCGCTACCTTTCTTTTGTTAAACAATGTGCTTACAAATAAAACACCTTTTCTTCTTTTTTGATTTATTTCCTTTTTTTTTTTTTTGGTCGATTTTGAATAATTTGTCCCTATCTTCTATATAAAAGGGAAGAAAAGAACTTTTATTGTACATTCCCTTCCATAAGAATGACAAATAATATTTAGACAGAAACGGACCGACCATATTTTTAATTTTAGAAATCAAATTAGAAAGCGACCTTGGCTGTCCATAACGAGTTCTCTAGCTCCTTTATCTTCACAATTCTATAAGATAATCATTTAAACCAAAGAATTAATTGGCAAGCACAAGAAAGAAAATAATAGAAAATAAAAGTGCCAACAAAAAAAAAAAAAATGGACCGACCATGGTTTTCCAAAGTGATGATTTTTTTTTTTTTTTTTTTTTTAGTGATGAACTTTTGAAATTGAAAAAATAAAATAAAATAAAATAGCATACGTATATATATAGCAAGGTCAAAACTGATCTCTTTTTTTGTTCTTTATTTATTTAATTTAATAAGTGATTGGATCTCCCACTCCCACATGACCCCACGTTTCCATTTGATCTCTCACTTTTATTTGAAGGGAAAGCCATATGTGCACAATTCCACAAGTCATAAATTCTGACCCATTTTATGAGTAAAGTTTAATGACATAAAAAAAATATATCATATCTTATAGTTGTTTGTATATGTCAGAATTTAATATGATTAAATCGATCATATCTAGAAAATTTTAATGTGATTAATGGCTTGCTTCTGAGACGAGCTCAAGAGTAAACGTAATATGTGATCCATGCCAATACGAGCATAATATTAAATCATAGATAGATAATTAAAGACTAAAAACATCATTACTAGAGCATTATTTTTGTCCTTTGTTAAGACATTACTAGAGTAATGTTAGTCATACCTAAGTTTTAAATGTTGGATTGTAACATATTATTTTGCCAGATCTTTCAATCCTTCACCAAGACCAATCTAACACGCACACTTCTTAAATTATTTTTACAGAATAAAGAGAAAATGTAGAAAAATAATTATGCGTTTCCCCTCTTTCTCTCTCTTAAACGTCCTTGGAGTGCAGATTGCTCGGAGATCCGATGCCACATCTGGACAGGTCGTTGGGCTCCCTGTCTTGAATTTTGGTCCTCCGACTCATCTTGCCGTGGGCTTCTCGATAGTGGTGGTTCCGTTCGGACGGATCAAAAATTGAAAGGAGCTTGGAAGCCTCACGATTAGGCTGCGCCTTCCAGCACATTCGTAAGTGGGTGGTTGAGATCTCTTGGGGTTTTCTTTCGTATGGCGGTGGTCTTCTTTTAACTGTGACAGCGTCTACTTCCATTAACAACGACAATGGTGTGTGCTACTCACGTGCTTCTATTTTGCGGTACCTTTTCGACTCCATTACAAGCCTCTCAAAGCCAGCAGCCTTCCTTGACGATTCCCCTCTCTAGCTGCCCCTTCACTGGAGGCATTCGATGGCGATGTAAGGAGTTTATTCTTTTTGTTTATAGACCAAGTATGTGTGTAATAATAGTGTTGTTTTTGCCGATGAGTTGAATATTTCTTCCAATAACAAATGTGGTGGTTTCTCCGTCTTCCGGTCAATTGGTTTAATCTATTGACTATAGTGTTTCTTTCAAATGAGTTTTGTCCTACTCAATTTTTATGTGTGGAGTGGGCTTTTCCTCATTAGGGTGTGGTGCTTGTGTTTGCTCAACGTGCTTCATTCATCTTCATTGATAGATTCAGTCAATAGTCGAGGTCGAATACCTTTATAATGAGTAGTCATTTGTGATTAGTTGTTTGTAACTTGTTTTTGAGAATGAAACTTCACTTAAAAAAAAAGAGAAAATGTCTAATTTATTATATCCCTAGCTTTACTAAATTAAGAAAAATATCTTTTTCCAAAAAAGTTAATCTTAGTAATTTGATTGATTTTTGATAAGTTATTGTTTGATTTTGGAAACTATTGATATCAATAAATTATTAGTTTAACAATGTATGTATAATATATTAATTTTCAATTAGGCAAATAATTGGTTTATAAATTTTTTTTTAAAAAAAAGGTGTTTCTTAATTTAACAAAATCAGAATCATTTACTTCCAATATGTTTGAAAAGGTTATTTTTGTGCATGGGAATAAATATCTTGATTTTAGACAAAATCTATGTTTTTAGTAAGATATTGTTCCTTTATTATTATTATTATTATTATTGGATGAAAGATATTGTTCCTATTATATTCAAAACAAAGTTGAGGGGATATTTGGTTAGAGGATTCAAACTATAATTTAAATTATAATTCATGATTTTTTATAATATTTTTTCTCATAAAAAATACACATAAACTAAAAATTATTATAATAATATAATTTTAATTCATGAATTAATGTAACTGAAAGTATACTTGAAAAAAAAAAAAAAAAAAAAAAAAAAAAAAAATTGGCGATGTAACGAAAAAATTATTTGAAAAAAAAAAAAAAAAAAAAAAAAAAAGACATTGGCACGCAAACTGATGGCAGTAGAAAATTATTAATATTGTCCACACTTTTCCAGCAAATAGAGACAAATAAAAAATAACAATTAGATTAGATAAAAAATTTACAAGAAATGGGACCTCACGACAAGATCCAGGACTCCTACAGGGTAGCTTCACTCTCTATCTCAGCTTCTCTATCAACGGTGGTCAGTCAACCACTACAAAGTCAATGTTATCATGATCAACAGTGATAGTGGCATTTCCGTAAATAATTTCAGACAGGAGGGGTAATCTGAGAACAGGAAACTGTAGTGTAGCTTTTATTTTTTGTTATCATCATTTTGTTTTGACTTGAGCTGGCTGAAGAAGAAGAAGAATTGTTTTTGGCAGGGATAGAGAAAATCGGCGACGCGTGAAAAAGCCGTCATTTTTTTTTTTTTAGCGTTTGTCTTCCAAGAAAAGAAAAAGGAAAATTACAAAATACTGGAGAAACGGAATAAAAAGCGCGAGAAAGTGAGAGAAAAAGTTGCGGAAATCTTTGAACTTGTTTTCTCATCTGGTTCCAAACTCGCTCTTCTTCTTCTTATTTCTCCTGATGTGTTTTCTCTCTGCTTAGGTCTTCATCGAGAAGAAAAAAAGAAAGAAAACCCATTTCTCTCTCATCAGGTACTCTGGTTCTCTCTCTCTCTCTCTCTCTCTCTCTTATTTGTTTGTTGTGTTGATCTAACTATGATTTTCAAGCTAGGTTCTGGCTTTACCGTTTTTGATTCGCGAGTTATACTTTGGTGTTATTAAACCTTTTTTTTTCTTTTTTAATTTTTCGAAGCAAACAAAAAAAAAATGAACTTCTTGGTTTTTGTGGTTGTATCTTTGTTATAAATCTGTGTGCATGTGTTGTTTGTACTGTGTTATGGAACTGAAATCAGCTTCTAATCGGTTTGTGATTTTGCTTGGTTTTACAATCTATGGAAATATTAAAGTTGCAAAATTTAACAAAGGGAAACTGTATTTAGCTTAGATAAATCATCAGTAAGAAATTGTATACAGTGTAAAAATACTATTTTGGTTGTGCTACGGTTTTGTGTGTTCTTGTGGTTCAATATCCGGTTGTATTTTTGCTTTAAAGATTCTGTGAAATTAATATCAGGGTTGAGTTAATTGTTAAGCCGTTTGTTTGTATCTATAAAAAGTGCAATGTCATGATGTGAAACCATTGACAGATGTAAGTTTAGTTCGAGAATCTTTGTTGCAAAGAAACATTTTAAGAAAGTTGTGGAATATATTTAGAAAGATAAATAACCTTTTTCTTTATGGAGACAACTTTCTGTAGGAGGAAGTTGGGCATAAGCTTTAACCCAGAATAGCAACGGAAGTTAACAGTATGAATTTGAGAAATTATGGATTGATTTTGCATTTCTTCTAACATGTGTATGTATAGAAGTAAAAGAATTTACTTGGCAAAGTAGAATTTTTTTTATTTTTTTTATTTTAAACCTGTGAATGCAATTCAACTTTATTTATGGTCAGAAGTACATGTGTTTCTTGGCCAACTTATTATTATCAATATTAGTTTAATGGTTTATGTAACCACTATATTTTCTACGTGTGGAACTATTACCTTATTGGAGTTTGTTTCCTGTTTCTGTTTCTATTTTTTTGCACCAGACCAGCTTGCAACTTTTGATGGTAATTTGGAAAATATAGATGGTCTTGCCGTGGGACTTTGCAATTGGTCTTAATCCTTATGGAGTTCTTAATCCTTATTGAGTTAAGATAGATCCGGGAAAAAGCTTTGAAGAATGGTACGATGGATCAACCAAGGACAAATAAGCAGTTTCAGTACAATCCCATGGAACCTGGAAATGAGGAGTTACAGTCCTCATCTCAGACACTTATGTCTGACACTTTTAGCAGCACACATCCTAATACAAGGACCCCTAATCCAAATGTATCAGAAGTTAAACCTGGGCTTAATTTCTCTATACAGACAGGTGAGGAGTTTGCCCTTGAGTTTATGCGTGATCGAGTGAATCAGTGGAAGCCTTTGCTTCCCAATACTGTGGGTGATCCCAACTATGCAACAGGTTATATGGAACTAAAGGGTATGTTGGGTATCAGCCATACAGGGTCTGAGAGCGGGTCAGATATTTCAATGCTCACAATGGCTGAGAAAGGTCCAACACAGTTTGAGCCAAAAAGCACGTCATTGCACGAAGATAGAAGTATCTATGCATCAGTTCAATCAGTACCACGCTCGTCCTCTGCCTATGAGAGCAGTCGAGGGGTTATTCAAGGCCATGGCTCTTCTAGTGCCTCCGATAGCTCATCAATGAAGATGAAGGTTCTTTGTAGCTTTGATGGTAAAATTCTACCCAGGCCTAGTGATGGGAAGCTCAGGTATGTTGGAGGTGAAACACGAATTGTCCGTATAAGAAAAGACATTTCGTGGCAGGAACTTACCCAGAAAATTCTTTCAATTTATGACCAAACTCATGTCATTAAATATCAGCTACCTGGAGAGGATCTTGATGCCCTCGTTTCCGTCTCCTGCGATGAGGACCTGCAGAATATGATGGAAGAATGCAATGAACTAGAACGTAGAGAAAGCTCGCAAAAGCTTAGGATTTTTCTGTTCTCTATGAGTGATTTTGAGGATGCTCAGTTTGGCCTTAGTAGCGTGGATGGTGATTCTGAGGTTCATTATATGGTTGCTGTCAATGGCATGGACCTTGGTTCAAGAAGAAGCTCAATTTTGCGTAATTTGGCGAACTCCTCAGCAAATAAGTTAGATGTGTTAGGTAGACAGAACATTGAAAAAGAGAAAAATATGGCTACTGTAGGCCCAACAGAAGTGAGCAATGCAGTGTTGACAAGCAATATTGTATCATCGTTAGTTAGCCAATCTCTAGAACCAATTATACCAAGTTCCTCGAATGCTTATGAAAGTCATCCTCAGTTTTTTAATGGCCAGACGATGCATCATGGAGAAAATTTGCAATACCCGCTGCACAATGGCCATGTTACTTATAGTCATGCCCCTTTCATAGATGGTTCAGTGCAGCAAGCCAGTAACCCTGAAAAGGTCTTCCCCGCGGGGAAAGAGAACTTTGCCCCTGCACAGCCAT